GGCTGTGAGCTCGTCCACTCATCTAAGCAATAAAAAAAAAAAAAATTAAAATTAACATTATTATTTCTCACCTCCACAAAGATTCTCATCATTAACGCCCCCGAAACTGGTGTAGGGAGTCCAACACTCATATAAATATTAGCCTATCCATTAAGTACATGTATTTTCTACATGAATACCAAGTTTCAAGTCAATCGGATGCATGGTTCAGTAGTTATAATGGAACATCCGTAAAAACCACTGTAAATTGATATATTAGTATGGATATGTCTAGTTCTTTAAGTCTACCAGTGTTTGACGGCAGCGCAGTTCGTTAGGTTCAGTAATGGAATTGGTGGCTCGTGACCGAGACAAATCGAGTTACTGCCTACACAGTATTCACACACGGCCTTATATGTGTTCGGTTTGTTTGTTTTTTTTTCTTCTTTTAGTTTTCGTGTCCAATTACTGTTTCATTTTCAAGGCGAGGAGTCGTTTGTTTAAATACAAAGGTCACATGTCTAGAATATTCGTAAATTGCAATAAATGTTGTTACGTCAGAGCTCTATTACTGTATGGTGGAGTAGGACTACAGTCTTTACCACATATGTCCCTGGTGCGTTAAGCCGGCTTCTGCCCAACGTGGGGGGGCCTGACCAGGTGACGCGCCGTCTCTATACGGGGGTGGTGCGATCAATGGCCCTATACGGGGCGCCCGTGTGAGGCCAGTCCCTGGCCGTGGGGGTAGCGAAGCTGCTGCAACGGCTGCGACGCACCATCGCGGTCAGGGTCATCCGTGGCTATCGCACCATCTCCTTCGAGGCGGCGTGTGTACTGGCTGGGACGCCACTTTGGGTCCTGGAGGCGGAGGCACTCGCCGCTGACTATCAGTGGCGGGCTGACCTTCGTGCCCGGGGCGTGGCACGTCCCAGCCCCAGTGTGGTCAGAGCGCGGAGGGCCCAATCTCGGCGGTCCGTGCTGGAGTCATGGTCCAGACGGCTGGCCGATCCTTCGGCTGGTCGTAGGACCGTCGAGGCGATTCGCCCGCTTCTTGTGAATTGGGTGAATCGTGACAGAGGACGCCTCACTTTCCGGTTCACGCAGGTGCTTACTGGGCATGGTTGCTTCGGTGAGTTCCTGCACCGGATCGGAGCCGAGCCGACGGCAGAGTGCCACCATTGTGGTTGCGACTTGGACACGGCGGAGCACACGCTCGTTGCCTGCCCCGCATGGGAGGGGTGGCGCCGTGTCCTCGTCGCAAAAATAGGAAACGACTTGTCGTTGCCGAGTGTTGTGGCATCGATGCTCGGCGACNACCATTGTGGTTGCGACTTGGACACGGCGGAGCACACGCTCGTTGCCTGCCCCGCATGGGAGGGGTGGCGCCGTGTCCTCGTCGCAAAAATAGGAAACGACTTGTCGTTGCCGAGTGTTGTGGCATCGATGCTCGGTGACGACGAGTCGTGGAAGGCGATGCTCGACTTCTGCGAGTGCACCATCTCGCAGAAGGAGGCGGCGAGGCGCGTGAGAGACGCACAGGGCCGCCGCCGTCGAGCGGGGGCCAGGGAGGCGGATCTCGCCCAAGCCCTGGCCCTCTAAGTGTTTCGGGTCTCCCTCACATGTCGGCCTGGGGGCCGGCGAAGGGAGCCTAAGAAGACGACGTCCAAGCTGCTCTGCACGCGTTTTATGCATGAGCATCCGGGTGATGGAAGGCCGGCTATCCTCAACCCACGCTGGTTCTGACCCAGCGGGGTATTCCGTAGGATAGACCATTCTAACCGGCGCCACCTAGGCGGGCTTCGGATAGCCGGCCGACCGAGAGGGCTGGTGGTCGTGGCGCCGACGACCGCCAGTCTTCTTGGATTTTCCTCGACTGTATATCGGAAGGTACCTGAAACACTTAGGGACTGCTCAGGACTGTGATTCGGGCCAGATCTCTATCTCGACCCCCGGTTAATAATAACCTACTGCATTTACATGTAGGTACCGCCATTCTGCCTATTAACCCAAGTAGCCATGTGTTCCGCTATGACAGAGTGGGGCAGCGATTATACCACACGACTAAGACTTCCTTATAATGTGATATTTGTGGGCTAAAGTGGTATATTAGGAGAGCGGTACGGCTCATTCGTGAATACATTTTACGACACCCAAAAGATGGGAGTGCCGATATTCTTTACCATCGCGTGAAATAGAGTTCATCCATACTACCTGGAGCAACTGCGTTCATCCACAATGCATTTCCAGATATCTGTTTTACCACGTACCATCCAGCTTTGTAATGAGCTCCTCCTCACGATGTTTCCCGAGCGCTATGACGGGTCCTTCTTCAAATGAGGCTTGCGGAGAGTACTTAGCGGTTGGCAACGACTTGGCTCTGTCCCTGGCTTTGCAGAATTCGGTAACCACTCACCATCAGGTGGGCCGTATGCTCATCTGTTTACAAGGGCAATAAAAAATCTAGATCAACAAGTCACGTATCCAGTAACAAGCAGAAGTTTCAGAGTTCGTTCACCGAAGCAGAGCAGAAATATTCGTGACAATAAAATTATTCAGGTTATACCTACAATTGTAATGAGACTCGACAATACTTGTCTGTGTCCATTGTAGGCGTGACGCATCCTCACGTGAACTTTTCCACGCGTAACGAACGTAGTGATGTGACAGATATTTTATTAAAGATTCGATCTTTTATCGATCAGATGGGGAATGGTCCATCCACCTGGTTTTAACACGTTGACTGCGGGACTTTTTGAGGGATTTTTAGGCGGTGCATGTGAGGTATTTCCGAGACAGGATCGGACTTGTTTACTATATGAGACCTGATAGGCCTCAAAAAATACCATTTTCGAATATACCAATACCTATAGAAATGTGGACTTGTCGTCTTATGCACTAAGCGAAAAGTTTTTACTGCAGCATCAGGGAATAGTGGCGTGTGGGGCTTTTTAAGTCGCATAACGTAGTTAATGGGAATTGGTTACGGAAGCCGATAGACATCTACAAAGTTAATGCCTATTTGGAGACAGTTCTAATCAGATTTTACAGTACAGCTGTCCCACCATCGTTACCGAAACGCATTACTGCTTCACAGCAGATAAATGCACCGCTTCGGTGGCACTTACCTGTGCGTGATCATAAAACGCACTACCAGCAGTAATTTCGATCAGACCAGATTTTCTTTACTGTAGTTTGTCCAATGTAACTTCATACGGGGGACAGTTGACGGTATAATATCCTTAGTTTTCAGTTCTGTATGAAAAAAATCGATTATATAACGATATTAAATTTTTTTCAATCCATCGCTCCGTGTACCCATCCACTTCCACTCCGGATCACGTCATTTCGGATCCTCCCAATCCACTAACAGTGCCTTTAGGTACCTCAAGCACCGGTCACCGTTCTCGTCGAACCCGTCGCTTGCGACGAAGGGCTCGACGAGTAAATTAACCCACAGACACAGCCCACTGAGTTTCTCGCCGGATCTTCTCAGTGGGTCGCGTTTCCGATCCGATGGTAGATTCTGCGAAGCCCGGCTCTTGCTAGGGTTCGTGTTAGCAACGTTGTCAGGTTTGAGCACCGTGAGCTCACCTACTAGTTAAGGTTACGCTGAAATAGCCTCTCAAGGCTATCAGCTTAGGTAGGAAAAAAATCATCCACACTTAACGAACTAAAGTTAATTATTCAGTACGTACATAGGTACAAGTTAAAAGTTTTTTTATTGTATGCTCGTTGAGGGTCAATTACTTTTAAATTGAATGGCTTTAATTGATACATCGTTAATACGAAGTCTTATCGATGTTCATCGTGTTAACCGACTTCGGTAAAAGAGAGGAGGTTCTCAATACGACTGTTTTTATATGCTCAAGTTACTAAGCGAACTAATTTTGATTATTTTTTGTTTTCATTTGAAAGCTAGTGCTTGTCATGTAGTCCCGTTTAAGTTTTATCAATAACTGACCCGTGATTTTTGAGCTAATATTTTAAAATTGATTTGTGCTGGTATTAAATAGTACAGGGTGATTGATATGTTATTGTAAAAGTCAACCAGATTTAATTTTATTGAAATATAGATATAGATGGGTAGATGATGTAACAAATCGCTTGGCTTAAGCATCTATCGAAAACCATTGGACTTCAGTATGAATATGTTATCGAAGTCTCACATCCCGCGATCGAGAAGGCTTTCAGTACTTTATGGCAGAAATATCTATTGGCAGGCACCGGTTCGGCTCTGCCCCCGGGAATTGCTAACGTAGCCGCTTACTATCAGGTGGGCCGTATGCTCGTCTGCCTGCAAAGGCAAAAAATGGAGATTTTTTTTAAAGCTGTTACTGTTTGTAATTCCAAAAAAAAAGGTATAATATAACATGGCTCTTAAGGCTATAACTTACAAAGCGATTGAAACTCAAGATGTACAAGTGTTGCCCCAAAAATTATGACAAACAAAAAAAGGAAATTTTTAGCAATTCCTGGTGGTAGGGCGTCTTATGATCACATCCGGCACATTTCTGCCGCAAAGCAGTAATGCGTTTCGGCTTAAAGGGTGGGGCAGTCGTTCTATTCTAGAACTGAAATTTAGAACTGATGTCTTAAGGTATTTACGTTTATTTTGTTTATGGGCTCCAATTACCACTTAAAGTCAGGTAGGTCGTGAGCTCGTTCACCCGTCTAAGCAATAAAAAGAAAGAAAAAAAGACAACACAACGTTATCATTCATGAAAAATGTAGAGATGCAAAATTTTTAAATTACTAATTTTAATTAATAAGAAAATAGAATATAATATGTATGTGTGCATTCAACAGAAACTATATTACGACGAAACCCTATTTTTACAATTATTTGAAATATGTTTATTCAAATTTAATATACTACTAACATCGTTCTTAAACAAGCACAACACTAAACAAATCAACGCGAATCGGCGTGCATTCAATCTAATAATGCGTTTTGCACAAACAAACATATCGCCGATGTGAGCAGTCCAAGTCTGATGGTTCTATGTGGTTTGTATTCGCAGTGTTGGTGGTATGTTCAGCTCACAGCCTCCAGCTGGACAGCCAGGCTTCCACCAGGCGGCCGAGGGTCACGAAGTACAGCAAGACTACAATAGCGCCTGGCGGATCGACGGTAAGGCAATTTTATTTATTTCATTTACTTCATCTAGGTACTACAGATTTTGCATGCAACCCGATAAAGACACAAGTTTGCGCGTTCACTGCGAAGAAGGACCCCTTTGTCATGGCGCCGCAATTCCAAGGAGTATCCCTGCAACCTTCCGAGAGTATTGGGATACTTGGGGTCGACATTTCGAGCGATGTCCAGTTTCGGAGTCATTTGGAAGGCAAAGCCAAATTGGCGTCCAAAATGCTGGGAGTCTTCAACACTGTTGCGAAGCGGTGCTTCACGCCTGGACAAAGAGTTTTGCTTTATAAAGCACAAGTCCGGCCTCGCGTGGAGTACTGCTTCCATCTCTGGGCCGGGGCTCCCAAATACCAGCTTCTTCCATTTGACTCCATACAGAGGAGGGCCGTTCGGATTGTCGATAATCCCATTCTCACGGATCGTTTGGAACCTCTGGGTCTGCGGAGGGACTTCGGTTCCCTCTGTATTTTGTACCGTATGTTCCATGGGGAGTGCTCTGAGGAGTTGTTCGAGATGATACCGGCATCTCGTTTTTACCATCGCACCGCCCGCCACCGGAGTAGAGTTCATCCATACTACCACTGCGGTCATCCACAGTGCGTTTCCAGAGATCTTTTTTGCCACGTACCATCCGGCTATGGAATGAGCTCCCCTCTATGGTGCTTCTCGAGCGCTATGACATGTCCTTCTTCAAACGAGGCTTGTGGAGAGTATTAAGCGGTAGGCAGCGGCTTGGCTCTGCCCCTGGCATTGCAGAAGTCCATGGGCGATGGGTAACCACTGACCATCAGGTGGGCCGTCTGCTCGTCTGCCTACATGGGCAATAAAAAAAAAACCATATTACATTCATTAATCTATAATCTATATATATAAAAATGAATCGCTGTTCGTTAGTCTCGCTAAAACTTGAGAACGGCTGGACCGATTTGGCTAATTTTGGTCTTGAATTATTTGTGGAAGTTTAAAAAAGATTTAAAAGGTAGATAAATATGAAAATTCTGGGAATGAACTAAAAATAACAATGTTGTTTTTCCTTTGATGTGTCCCCCGTCGGACGGATTCCTTTTGTTAGTTTTAAGTTTATTTTATACAAAAGTTTAAGTCTTTTATTTATCAATTGAGGCACTACGAAGTCTGCCGGGTCAGTTAGTACCTTATAAATTTTAGAAATAGCCATACTAATTTCGTCCGTGTCGTGTCACAAGGCAGGAAAATAATGAAACTGTAGAATTTCATAAGCCCATAAGCGTTCGTTTCATAAACTGGGTCCAAAAATTTGTTGAAGCAGAAATTAGCGTTTCTCTCCCAGGAATCGGTAACAGAAAGAAGTTTGGTGACGGCCACGTACCGTCTCCAAGGTGGTGGAGGGGAGACCTGCATTCTTCTGACTGTCGATGCTCTCCTGGACATATCTTACGTGACAAAGCTCAACGAACGCGCGGTGAGTTTGGCTATGATTACTAAATCATTCTCTTAGGACTCTCCTGGTGTAATGATACCGCCCATGAGCCATTAAACTGGGAATGGAAGGCCCACAATGCGACATCAGTCTGAAGCGTCAGTAGCATTGCCACAACGGATACACACCCTTGTGGTCTTATAGCAAAATGGCTTTGTGGTATATTAGGGGCAGTCCAGTTTTTTAACACAACTCGCCACCAGAGGCTAAGACTTCGCTGGGTATAAACATTTGTGTTCCTGTGGCTAGGGTTGTTGAAGTTTATAGATAATTCCTAATAAAAACATTTGGAATTTGGGTCTTGTGTATCAGGACGGATAATGGCTTCACGAAATGTAACGGTACTCACGTAAAGCCAAGTCAGGCAGTGCTGTTTTACCAAACTATTGGGGTAGCAGATATGGTCACCTCGACTTGCGAACCGGTTGTGGTGAATTGTTTGAAGCTTCCATGATTAGTGAGATGTCAATATTGATGGTTACAGGACGCGAATACTTTTGTCCCGAACAACGCTAACGTCGGAGGGGCGTGCAAGGATGGTGACGCCGAGACCTTAGTCCTTTCGTTTAAGGATTTCACTTTGGAATGGTTCTTTGCAAAGGTACGTTTTTTTATTGAAAAATAATAACATAAATTCGAGCCCTTGTTTCACTAAGGCGGTTTCTTATTCGTAATTAGAATGAAACGGAAGTGTGGGCGTTGATACGGCGAAAATTCCGTTCGAGGAAATCGTCTAGATTGTGTGAAATCTACTTAAACGTCGTGAGGCTTTGCTAGCCATAATTTTAAATCGATGATTTTAGGTTAGACATTTCATCATTGTCGTCGATTCTCTGGGACTGAGGATCGTGGTCACCACGGTCAAGTTTCTGCACAAATTCTGGCCAAGTATCTCGGGATTTAGTCAATTTAGGCAGCTGGGATCTTGTCAGTTAGTTTAGGCAGTTAGAACCTTGTGTCCTTTTAAACGATATTTGTCCACTTGGCGGCGATCTCACCCTGGCCCCTTGGGCTTCTTGATATATACAAAATACATAGATAAGAAATACATATTATCAAATAAAATAAATTATATAAACCACAATATACTACAAAACAATCAAGCAATCTGTGTTTTGAATAAGAGATCATGTATTTTCGCTTTTAAAATATCAACTGAACAACATTCAAAGATATTTTTTCCTCTGTCACTGTTGTTTTTTTAACATTCAATATTACCCCTAAACCAGCCTTTCCCAAAGTGGGCGATAACGCCCTTCGTGGGCGCTGCAGGCCTAAAGGGGGACGATAAGAGACCCAGAAAAAAAATAGGGGCGTTGTGTAGAGGTTTGGGAGGCGATTTGTATTTTTATCTAGAAGGACTCTTAGACACCACTGAGCTCTCGCTATAGTGGTTTTTAAGTAGGTGAAAAAATGGGGGCGCTAAAAAAGAATTTATTCTCAAAGTGGGCAGTAGACAAAATAAGTTTGGGAGCCCTTGCCCTAAACTTATTTTCCTAACAGAGCAAGCGCGTAGTGAAATTCGAACTAAAGAAAGTACACCTCCTTCACACTTATTTAAATGTGCGCGTAATTTTTACGGCTGATACAAGATTTTGTAAAGTTTTGGTTGGCGCGTTTCAAATTTACGTCAGATTTCTTATGTCCATTCGAAAGATGCTGAATGATGTGTATGTATCTTTCTCTTTCAGACTCCAGGAGGAGAGCGTTGGTATGCTGAGAGCATGAAGCTATCGTATAACTCCAGTTCTCGCATTCTGGAGCACGCAGCGAATCAAGGGAGACGTGTTACCCTCACCACTGACTCCAGAGAGCTGCTTTTCCCGACGCCGGTCGGAAAATCTTATTTCTGCCCAGACGAGACGGTCATTGAACTCACCGAGGAGGATCCCAGGTGAGTTCAATTCTAATCACTGGTCGTAGGACCTCTTGTGAGTCCGCGCGGGTAGGTACCACCACCCTGCCTATTTCGGCCGTGAAGAAGTAATGCGTTTCGGTTTGAAGGGTGGGGCAGCCGTTGTAACTTTACTGAGACCTTAGAGCTTATATCTCAAGGTGGGTGGCGCATTGACGTTGTAGATGTCTATGGGCTCCGGTAATCACTTAACACCAGGTGGGCTGTGAGCTCGTCCACCCATCTAAGATCTATTGTTGAAGACCAGAATACAGTAATATAAACTGTTTTGTGGTAGATACTTAGTTTTGAGGGAGATGTATCGCGTAGCGTCGGCAACGGTGAAGCACGCCATTTAATTTTAACTTTAACTTAATGAAAAACAGATATCAATGCTAAATTCACAGCAAAATAATTTTAAAAGGTTACTTATAAATGTTAACGTTATACGTGCGCGCACTAAGACGACGTTCATACAGGTCGATATCTAATATTTATAATCAAACTGCCCAAATAGTCGGTATTACGACGCTACGTATTCATTCGCTTTGATAGGGTCGATCTATCGACGGTTCGCCCACAAAGGCTTAATGTGGATATGGTGGAATTTCTCGATGCAACTTTAGATCTGTGACCTTGTCCGTTCATTTAGAGCAATAGTCGGTATTCCGACGTTCCGTACTTTATACGCGTTAGTAGAGTCGATCTATCGACGGTTCGCGCACAAAGGCTTAATTTGGACATGGCGGAATTTCTTTTATATTTTTTATTGCTTAGATGTATGGACAAGCTTACAGCCCACCTGTGTTAAGTGGTTACTGGAGCCCATAGACATCTACAACGTAAATGTGCCACACACCTTGAGATATAAGTTCTAAGGTCTCAGTATAGTTACAACGGCTGCCGCACCCTTCAAACCGAAACGCATTACTGATTCACGGCAGAAATAGGCAGGGTGGTGGTACCTACCCGTGCGGTCTCACAAGAGGTCCTATCACCAGTAATTACGCAAATTATAATTTTGCGGGTTTGATTTTTATTACACGACGCTATTCCTTCACCGTGGAAGTCAATCATGAACATTTGTTGAGTACGTATTTCATTAGAAAAATTGGTACCCGTCTGCGGGATTCGAACACCGGTGCATCGCTTCAACACGAATGTATCGGACGCCTTATCCTTTAGGCCACGACGACTTCAAACTACGACTACGACTGTGGTGGAATTTCTCGATGCGAATTTAGCTCTGTGACCATGTCGTCCGTTGATCTTGTCCAATAAATCATTACCGCGTCATATTACCTCTCGTCCGACAGCAACCCGACGTTGGCTCACAAAGCGAAGCTGTACCTCAGGCAGATGCGTCTGCAGCCGTTCATGTTCAAGCGGTCCGGCGAGTTCGGTCCCGCGTGGCACTGCGCCGGGGCCGCGCGGGCCCGCTCCGAGGCCGCACCGGTCGCGGTGGGGGCCGCGCTGGCCGTCGCGACCGCCGGCACGCTACTAGGCTACGCCATATGGCGGTATTTGAAAGTCAAGAAAGTACAATACGACACGATGGAATGAGATTAATAAGTTCGGTTACAATATCGCATTAAAAGTGTACAATTTCCAAAAAAATATTCGAAATTGAGTAAATATCGACGCTTGAAAGGCAAACATGACTAAGCGACAATGCGTGAACTTTACAGTAGATTAATTTAAAGTTGAAATACCTGAAAAAAAAATCTATTTTAACGAATCTAGCTGTTGGATTGAAATTATTTTAATAGACCTAGAAATATATATTTTTTGAGCATTGAATACGGTTATTGCCTATGATTTATGTACAAAGCGTCGATATGCAGAATCATTTGGTATCCACTAGTATTTTTCTCATAAATACTATCAAAAGAGCGTAGTTTTTTTTTTTTTTAAGTTTCCTATATTTTGACTACTATTAACAAAATTAATACATAATTTTATCTTACTTTTAAAGACAGATAATGTAACAACTGGTAAAAACTAAAAAATAAATGTTGCAAAGATGATTAATATTAAAAATATCATATTAATATGTTAAACCTTTAAAACACTCTCCTGTAAAATTTAGTAAGTTTTGAGATTATACAGTTTTAATGCGAGAAGACGATATATCTGTGTGCTTAGTGCGAGGTAACGTTCTCGATAGCGTAAAAGTTCGCCCAGTTTTGTATGCAGTTGGAACAGCGCCCCTAGCGGCGAACGTAGGCAAACGATTCCATTCCATACAAATATGAGCTAACTTTTACGCTATCGAGAACGTTAAAAAACTCGCACTAAGCACACTGGACCTCGCTGGAATGTGAAGCCCGTTTCCCTTTCGCCAGGTCCAGAGATAATATGAGTCGTCTATTATCAAAGGTGGCAATCTGTGCAATTGGACAAAAAAATGTTATTGATATGTCAATACAGACTGATTTGAATATAATCGTCTCCTTCAAAGAATACGGTTCAAAACCTGCATTAAATAAAGGTTAATATTTAACCTGTTATTTATCTAAGATGTCGTTCAGAAGAGTTTTGTGAATGTCAATAGAATACAAAGTCAATAATTCGTTTTTCTGATTTACCAATAATTATCCAAAAGTCACATTGCCGGCTTTGATAATAGTCGACTCATATAAACGGTGTGCTTAGTGCGACTTAACGTTCTCGATAGCGTAAAAGTTAGCTCATATTTGTATGAAATGGGATCTTTTGATGCTAGGGGCGCTGTTCGAGCTGCATACAAAATTGGGTTAAGTTTTACGCTATCCTGAACGTTAAAAAATTGGCACTAAGCATACGAGTTGTATTGATAGACGAGACAACTAGGGCTGCCACCTTTTTCTTTTGCAGATAAAGTACATTGGTTATTATAGATCATAGATAGGTAGGAAAAAAAGGGAATATCGTATTAAAATGAAGTATAATTTATCCCTTATTATTATTATGTTTAAATACATTATTTTTCTTACAGTTGAACAAATTAAACAAGAAATTGTGACAATTAATAACTGTGACATTGTTGGTATTGACTAAACTTTTCAAAATCCCAAAGAAACCAAATAAAGTATTTTCGTGTACTTTATTGTTTACATAAAGTATAGAGTACATTTACCTGAAATGATCAAGGTGGGTGGCGCATTTACGTTGTGGATGTCTATGGGCTCCAGTAACCACTTAACATCAGGTGGGCTGTGAGCTCGTCCACCCATCTAAGCAATAAAAAATAAAAAATAAAAATTACGTACAATACTTTATTACAAAGTACGGTTGGCAACCCTAGTGGCAACGAGATTTGGCGCCATTTTACGTGCATCACTGTTTATTCTAACAGGCAAACTTCCACTTTCAATTTTTTGCTTCGTTTCTTCACAGATTTTTTTTAATGTCGTCCCATTGCTATGTTTCAACTCAATCATTTCAATTCAGTTCAATTATTTTTACCATTTGAAATTTCATTTAAATTTTCTTCACTATAAATTTAATAATATGAATTATGAATTTGTGAAATAGTTTTATAGATCTGGTGTAAAGTTAGGTTTTAAAGTTACCTACGACAATTTCGCTTTCTTCTGTCGACATTATGTTTCTGATTACTGTTTTGGTATTAACAACTACTATCGTAATAGAGCGAAATTAAAATTCAAATGGCGTCAAATCTCCTTATTGCGTCATAATAATTTAATGACATTTTTATTGGTAATCTCATTTGCTTAAAATGTGTGCATTATGGGCTGGAAATATGTCCTGTTTACATTTAAGGAAGCTTTTATTGTATTGTGGTCAAGAATCTTGCGAAATAAATTAAAACCAGGCCTAAAGATAATACTGAAGGTATTGCGATGGTTTTTTCGTAAAATAAATTTAATTTAAAAAATTTGAGTGTTTGTCGAATGTGGTAGATATTATTATTTATTCGATAGGTATTCCGAAAGGTAATTAATTTTTATTAAGCTAAAACTGATTTAGCTTTTTCTCGATAAATATTAAACAATTAATAATTCGAACACATATTTGCCCTTTGAGACACCTTAAATAATGACGAGCGATTTTTTTCTGGCAAGTTGAAATTATTAATGAAGTGCCACCACCGAAATTGACAGTAATTGTTTGTCTAATAAATTATTGCCTTGATAGTTTGAAATAATTTAGAATTTTTTAGCTTGAAATATCAACAGGCAGATTAACAGATTAATCTTGAATCTCGAAGTTAAACTTATAGGTTATGTTGAAATAATTATTGTAGGTTAGTTAGCTTATAGATTAAATTAAAAAAAAACGTATAAAAACTACGAATGAATGCCAACAAAATTAGTTAGTTTGAGAAATTTTATTGTAGGTATAAGTTAGTTAGTAAACAGATATGCGAAATGTTTTTTTTTTCCATATTGAGGAAAAATTGTTGCCACACCCAAATTTTACGTTCAGTGATGTGAAGGTTTTTTTATACTTTTCAAATTCAATTCGGTTTTAATATTGATAGCGTATTTTTATCGGTAATTAAGCTAATTGCATTTTAATAGCATAAAGTGATAACGTTTTGCTAAATTTAATTAAAAAAAAGTGTGAAAGTTCAAATGTATAATATGAAAAAACATAATATTTAATATGTAAGCTGTTGTTAATGGTTGATTAGTGTTGTTAAATGATATTGTATCTCAATTCATAATCGTGTAAAATATTTTAAATATTTAGAAACCATATCTAAAACAATGTTAAGTATTTTAATCAATTACAATGATAATCTAGATATGTATAGGTATATTTATTTTAGTTATTTAAAAATAATCAACGTCGAGTTTTGGAGCTATAATAATATGTTCACTGTCTCATTTTTTTTAAAATATTTTTTTTTATTTTTATTGCCCTTGTAGGCAGATACGTATGTTCGGGCAAGTTAAGATTTTTTAAAATATTTAACATCGTGTTGAGAAGGCTATCAAAATATTCCATAGATTATAAAACAAAAAAAAAATCATATTCTCGACGGTTTTCATTTGCAATCGATTTAATTTCAATGAGCTCCAATTATTTAAGTTATATTGTGTAGAATTATATAATTCAATTTTGGAAAGTTATTACTTTGTGTATTTTGTATAAGGAACATAATATAGCATATAGCCTCACATTTAATCGTGACATATCACATGATAATAACAAAATCGTATAATATAGTTATAAGGTTTCATTAAGTAATTAGAAATGTAATGAAACTTAATTCAAATTAATAGCGTCAGGCAGACAGAATACGTTCTCTTAAAATTCAAAATAATATTATTTGGTAAAATCAATAGTACCGATTAACTATATTGAATCGATATTAAAATAAGCCAATAATCTATTTGTCGCTTCAAAAAAATGCTGAATAAAGAAAAGTTTGAATCAAGTTTCATTATCCTTTATAAAGTAGTATTTATATAAAAATTAAATATAATTTGTATATTTTTGCGATATAGCGATGACTATCGATATTACGTGTTACAAGCAATAAATGATTTCTTTTTTAAATTTATATGGGCCGGTCGTGTGCGACTCAAATATGGCCGCCATTAAATATATTGATGTTGTATTGTGAGCAAAATAATGCTTATGCACTAGTGCGAGATGTATTAAGATAATATTATTTATCCTGCTAAAACGTTGTTAATCGCGCTCTAACATTATAACGATATAATCTCGTTTAGTATAGTAAGTTTAAGTGAAAAATAATTTGATGTAACCTATTTCGTCGGCGTATTTTTTTCCGTTCTAGCTTGTCACGTTTGACACCTTCATAGGATATTTTGATATTGTCATTGGTTGGATTTACGACTAGTTAACTATTAATTCGATTAGAAACAAAAGATAGCAGTTCAGATTTTCGTTAATAATGTGAAAAAATACTAGCCATCTTTGGAATGAGCTCTCTCCTCCATGGTGTTTTATGAGCGCTATAAAATGACATTCTTCAAACGTGGCTTAAGGAGATTACTTACTCGTAATTGTAGGCAGCGGCCTAGCTCTACCCCTGCCATTGGTGACGTCCATGGGCGATGATTTTTATTTTTTTATTGCTTAGATGGGACGAGCTCACAGCCCACCTTGTGTTAAGTGATAACTGGAGCCCATAGACAACTACTACGAAAATGCCGCCACCCGCCTTGAGATATGAGTTCTAAGGTCTTAGTATAGTTACCACTCACCATCGGGGCCGTCTGTCTACAGTTTTCTATAGTTATCTTGTCCATAGTTTTCTTTGTCACGGACGAGTTACTTGGAGATTTTTAGAAACAGGCACTAAAAACATAATCTCGTAAACACAATAACTATGTTGCATATCATTTTTGAAATGAAACTCATATTTTTTTGGGCATCGTTAAGGTGTCAAGTTAATATTAGATATAAAGCTAATTTTCTAGACTTTTTCGATTAAAAAGCTCGTGCGTTCTAATATTTGTAGAATTAAGATTTTCTCCTCAGACGAAGGAAGGTAATTAATATCCTTATTGATTATAGGTTAACGCTGTATATTGCTGTAAAACCGATATTTAATATTCTTACGTATTTATTGAATTAGGTGAATGACTCGTGAAATTTTTAACTCGATAATTTAAAATTTTCATATTAATAATTTGTCGGGAAGTCGTCTAAATCTTTGCGAAATATAACAATATATAGGTTATGTTGGGAATTACAAA